ATATACACACACACACACATATACATTCATTTCATTCATTTTCTTGTCGGCTTAGTCCCTTTATTAATCCGGGGTCGCCACAGTGGAATGAACTGCCAACTTATCCTGCATGTTTTTACGCAGCAGATGCTCTTCTAGCCGCAATATATATATATTTGCTTTTTTTTATTCATTCATTCATTTAAAAAGCACATTAAAGCTGAGATACAACCTTTAAAGACCACGAAACTTCCCTGCCTCAGCAAGGTTTTTTCACACCTCTAGTTTGGAAAAAGTCAGGAAAATGGGTGAGTCCAGCTCGATTTAGGTGGGAGTGTTGGGGGAGGGAAAGAGGAAAGGTTTTGCATAAAAAATGGGAGCACGCGCTGATTTTCACAGAGGCAAAACAAACACAGACGAAGGGGAGAAAGACGGTGACTGTGTTTACATGGACATCAGTAATCGAATTACTTTCCAAATTATTATTTTGTCGACTTGAACTGCAGTTTGGCACTTTCTCTTTCATTCAGGAACATGTCATGTATGCCCCCCCGTGACAAATGAGATACTGAATGCAAGGAACTGCTAGAAGAGTTGTTTTAATGGAATTTTTGATACCACACGGCGAATAGGAGGAAAACAAAAACCTCCACATTTCTCTGTAACTTAGATGCACTTGGTAGGTAACATAGCGTCAGAAAGCTGTGTGTGTATAGACTATCCTGTTCCAAAATGCGCCGAAAACCCTACACGACGGTAATAGTTTGATGAAGGTGTTTACATGCTTACACTTGGAGAGCTGCATTTACAGCAGATGTTTCAGTCCATAATATTGTACTGATATGAACGTACTGTAAACTCAGTAACTAAATCATTTTAACTAAGGTATGTCTTTAAACACTGAAAGAGTTCTGCTGAACATTCAAACTAACTTTGCCATCTAAATAAAAGAACAAAGACCAATGATCGATCACTTACCAAATCTGTAGAGACAGGACAATCAACACGAACTGATTGGTTTGAATCAAGTCTTTCTCATGAATTTATGCTGCACACTCAGAGACGTCACAATGTACTAGCCGGAACAGCATCCACTCTCCAAGCTGGATTACACGCAAGGATCTAATCACCATGATGCAGCTTCAAAAATTAGTTTCAAACCTAACCCTAACCAATTTTCTCTTTTTGTTGTGAAATATGTGTGCCCTAATAGTGTTTTTAGCAGCGTGGAACACATATATGACGGTCAACATCTCAAAGAATGTTTTAGTGTTTCGTGACACTTTAAAGACGACAATAGAAGAGGACTTACCTCACAATCATCAGCACTTTTAATAGTTTATTTTACAGACTTAATGTTTATATTTTAACTATACTTATCTTGTGGATACTGTCACTTTTAGATGAAATTACTTCAAACTACATTAATAGTTTATGCACTGGCATAATATAAATGAATGCTGACATGTTAAATAAAGTTAACATGATTTTTTAAAATGGGATGTTGATAACAGACTGAAAGTACACTTTTTGTTGCAGTATTGTATGTTATAATAGTATTTTTTTCAGTGTTGTCTGTTTAAAAAGACTAAAAAAGCTTTTATGTAAAAAGCCACTTTGTTCAATGTGATTGAATTCTGCCTCATAAATTCATCATACATACATATACACATCTATGTTAATAAATATATTATATTATTATTAAAAATATGTCACCTGATAATGAATCCAATTAAACACATATTGGGAAATCTGAAGAGACATTAAGTTAAGCATCTCTTTGAGCAACTCTAATAGAGGGGTCATTTTTAAAGAATGGAAAAGGTTTATGTTGCCAACTTGTTCATTTCATGCACAGAAGTCTTGGTGCTGTCATTAAATATCACAGAAGCCATACAAACTAAATAAAGTAGTTTTTATTGTAGGGTATACTCGTTTTTACATCATTCTAATTTTAGTAAAACTAAAAAAAAATTAATTTAAGTTATTTTGTTAATCTTACTTTCATGTCATTACTCATAGATACACATATATAAGATAACTTAAACAATTTTCATGCCAAAATGACCGCCACGTGACACTAGCGGCATCTAGTAGCTGTTCCCCAAATAACTGTCGCCTCTTGGTGTTTCTATGCTCTTTGGTAGTTGTACCGAGTCTTATTTAAGTTATTTATTAAATTACCCAATAAATTAAATTTTATTAACGATTACCCCAACCCTAAACCAACCGTCACAGCACTGTAAAAAATTATAGCTGCGGTGTGTAGCTGCAGCGGTATCCTATCTAGACTTGATCGATTCGCACTTCCGGCGAGCCGTGTATCCCATCTAGACAGCGACCTCCTGGCTGCTTCTGAAGGACGCTGTCAAAAGTCATCATCTCAATAAACTAAAACTTCCATAACAATATATACATTAATACATAATAACTTAATCTTAAAATTATTTTACAGTCTATGCTTTGTAAACCCAATCGATACCTGTTCCTCTGTCATGAATACGCGATTGGTCAGTTTGGCGATGTGGGCGGAGCTTCTGCGTAACCGCTGAGAAATACAGTTTGTTTTGGACCGAAATAAAACGGATTTTCAAAGTAACGCATATCCTCGAGTATTTAGACTTGTTCATTTGAGTTAGAGGAGTTTTATCAGTGTTATTTTTATCACCGACTTTACCTCAATTGATTTAAATAGTTCTCCGGTAAGATTTGTCTAATATTTTGTACTTTCAAATGTAAGTTATTGACGGTGAGCGCTTGTGTACTAATTTAAACATGAGATATTACAGTGTAACGTTATATCAAATTAAACCTCTTGACCTGCCTTATCAAACTCCATTAACACTGCAAATACAGTTGAAGTACAGTAATGCTTAGATTATAATGAAGGCATGTCTTAATTAGTGAATAATAATTCAAAAGACTAATTGAAAGAGTTAAAATAAATAAACGCCAACAGTGTCCAAAAATGCTCACTCTTTCAGTCATACTAATCCCTGAACCAGTAAAGGGAAACGTCAAATGTCTGCAGATCTAATTTAGACACAGCCACATATAGTTAATAATCGCTTGTTCGAGTTTGTTCTGTTATTTAACAACAAAAAGAACTAAAACATCAGCTTGTCGTGTGAATTTATTTCCTGAATGATAACGTATATAATAATAAACTGATAAAAACTATTTGTCACATTTATTTGTTAAATAAAGCTTAAAAATATACATTTATTACCGATAATATAGAAATAACTATTAACAAGAATCTACACAAATGTTTGAATCATGTAAACAGTATTTTAGTGGTTTCAGTCAGTGTGCTGGAGAGGACTCCTAATGTATGGTGTAAAATGTGAATAAATTGACATCTTTTATTACGTCACTGTCTCTGTTGGATTTTCAGAAAAGCCTAAAAATGCTCTCAGAAATACACTTTTTACTGTTTTAAATAGGAATGAGAATTTTAAAAAGGCACTTATCTATTAAGAGTTGGACCTTAGGGTTTGTTTCTGTGTGCATGTCTGTGTGTCTGTAAGTTATTTTAATAATATTAAACATGGCTGTTCTTGGTTTAATAGGATGCAGAGGAACTATACATGGAGAAAACAACAAACCTACTAGTACAAGTGGAAAGCGGATTCCTGCATGTTTGTTGACAGATGCTTCTGAAAAGGCAACGCAGTGGCGCAGTAGGTAGTGCTGTCACCTCACAGCAAGAAGGTCGCTGGTTTGAGCTTCGGCTGGGTCAGTTGGTGTTTCTGTGTGGAGTTTGCATGTTCTCCTTGCTTTCGCGTGGATTTCTTCTGGGTGCTCCGGTTTCCCCCACAGTCCAAAGACATGCGGTACAGGTGAATTGAGTAGGCTAAATTGCCCGTAGTATATGAGTGTGTGTGGATGTTTCCCAGAGATGGGTTGCAGTCGGAAGGGAATCCGTTGCGTAAAACATGTGCTGGATAAGTTGGCAGTTCATTCCACTGCGGTAACCCCGAATTAATAAAGGCGCTAAGCCGAAAAGAAAATGAATGAATGAATGTTTCTGAATATTCTTTAAAGGGTTGATGATATGCATTGATTTTATTTTAATATTTTCCTAGATATTCACAAAAAATTGGTTATAAAAAATAGTGCCCAGCATAAATAAGTATCGCATTTAAAATTTGTAAATATTTGTAATCAAGTAATGAGCATGCATTTTACAGAAATGTTGTTAACAGTTTTATTAAACATTTACCAGAGATTGCTCACAACCTATACAGGATAATAAAACAATACACTCAAATTCAACAAGGTATTGCTAGGCCCACACGAAATCTGCGCGCGCAGATTTTTAGCCCATCATTGATTCTGTTTATTTACTTGAGTAAATGTGTGTGAATCTATATTTATTCAGTTTTTAACTTAATTACGGTAATATTATTGACTAATATGAAAATGTTCATCTGATTTATGCACAATGCAGTTTGTAAAGTAATATTTTCTGTCTTTTTGTGGAGAAATTATATTAGAGATTTGCTTTGTTTACCAAATAAAGTGAATCTAATTGGATTTGCATTTTAAACATTAAATAAAAGTTTAAAAATACATATTTTTATTATATAAATTAAGGTTTTAGTTATAATACTCCCAAAATAATTCCGCAGAAATCTGAAGATTTTTACGAAAATTCTCCACAGAAATAACAAAAAACGTCCGCACAATCCACCAGGCTCTAGGTATTGCAAATACAATTACATTCTAGTAATCTAAATAATCTAAATCTGTTATTTTGTATGCATGGCCTCCATGAATTTTCCTGTTAATAAAAAATTTAATTTAATGTTTTCTCTTAACACATTCAGTGGGGTGCACTCAATCATCATCTTATTTGATTAAACTAGTTACCGTTTTTGCCGATAAAACAGATTTTCAGAATTATCTATATTTATATAATCAATATAAAACAGTAAATCACAGTTAATCAGCAGTCTGAGATGTTTTAACCGCCTGTTTATTTCTGATGCTGGGATTCTCCTGATGTTTGACACAAATGAGCTGTTTAAAGTTTCTCTCTTTGTTCTGTTTTTTAGCAGACTCAAGCGTATGGAGAACATTAGAAACTGGACACATATACCACATCCACAGTAGACATCTTCAGTGATTTTCATCGCTTGTATTTATTTTCAGAGGAAATGCAGGTAAAAAAAACAACTATTATTCATCTTAGAGTGTGTTCTTGATAAACATTAAAGCATTTCACTTTATTAACACTCCTGATAACACTGACTGTGGCTAATACAATGAGTAACACATCAAATCAAAAACCAGATTTCATTGTATTTCCAACTTTAAAATAGATTTACATTTAGCAGACGCTTTTATTCAAAGCATGAAGATAATAGAAGCACTTCAGATCACCAGAAAACAACAAGATGTAGATGCAGTGACAAGTCTTAGCCCCGGTCAGATCACATCATTTTTGTTGTCGGTTACGAAAGTCATTGTCAGATTATGTGATTTTTACATTTTTTTAAAGTAATTAATTAATTTTATTTTTTTCTTGATAAAATCTTGATTTGTTATGGGTGACAAATGTGCCAGACTACACGTTCCTTCACAATCAGTCATCCCATGACATCTACGACGAGCGTTATTTCCCAAAGCAGTAACAAGTGTTGCTTTAACAATATTTCCCATCTCAATTTATTTTTTTATTCTAATCTCAATAAACACTGATTCTTGCAGACAACTAACTACATTATTTAAGGTCATACTTTACGACATGGATAGGATCAAACTTATGATTTTTATATATTTTTTGATTATTATTATTATTATTATTGTTTTCTTCTGGTTCATGACAAAATAATACAAACACATATTACAAATGATCACTGGTGGCCTACTAAATGTAAAGCTAGAATGTATACAGTGCTGGTTACTATGTACAAAACTGCAATATTATGAAAATAACTTGGTGAGTAGTTCTTAAATTGTGTTTATAATTAATAATTTTGTAGTTTAAAATTATTTAATTGGTGTTGCAGTTTTATAAGCTTTAACACAGAACTTACAAATTACACCTCATTCATACAACTCGTATTCCAACAGCTTTCATTTATTTCATTTTTTATTGCTGAATATTATTGTAAACAAACATAATGTTGTATTGTCATTTATATAACATACAGTAAATATAAATTGTTTTTCCAGTAAATACTATTACAATTAAATAACAAGTCTGGTATATCCAGATGCAGTAGAATACTTTAGCTACTAGCTAACAATATTTATATTTTGTACTATATACTATACTACGCCTGTCTTTAGCTAACTCACATAAACTTTCTCCATCACTGCTCTTGTCAACTGTCTAATTTACATAATTCTCATGGTCCCTAAAACCCATCTCATTCTCACATTTATCTGCAGGAAAAGTTTCACTTACCATAGAACATGATGGTGCTCACTAATGCACTGTTCCCTGTATTCATATCTATTCAAAAGTAACATCGCTAATAAAACTAGATTTTTTCTATAATGCTAATGCCATTATTATTCAACTAATCAATGTTATTTAACTAGCATTCATGTTGATATTGTTACAACTTATAAGATCACAGCTGACCTTGCTGGCTAGCTAACCCATTACAATATTGCACATTCCACTATTGGACAGTGTTGCCATATGGCAACACATACAATTGATCGATCTACAAAAAACTAAATTGATAAAAAAAATATTGAGTTGTGAATATGTCATCATGACTTACTGGAGGTGATGTTCCAGATTTGTTTGTGGATCTGACATATTTTGATCCTTTGTTTTTATTGACGTTTACATTTGCATGCTACAGAAAAACACAGCATGTCATGTGACTTAAGCAATGCACATCCTTGGCTACTCTAAGGTCTTCTCTTTCCAACAACAAAAATTGAATGTTGATATTAAAGAAACAGTGGCAGGGAATGAACATAAATATTATGTTGCCATATGGCAACACCATGCGGTAGAGGGTTAATCATTATATCATAGTGCTTAAAAATTGAATGCGGTATTGTAGGTCGTAACATCATTAACATATAGTAAATCTGATATGAGACCACCATTCTAATTATATTCACCTTTCCTTATAGATTTGTCTGTATTTTACTCCATTTGTCCAAATTATTTTTAATGTTTTGTAAAAGAGGTGTCAAGTTTATCATAGGAATTTCTTCTGTCTCTCTATTTATTTTAATTCCCAGTTATTTTATCCCTTCTGGAATCCATTTAATGCCAAATTAAGTTACCAAAGTAGCGTTAAATATTCCAGATATAGGCGTGGCTTTTGACTTTGTCCAGTTAATTTTATATCCAGATACTTTAGAATAAGATTGAACTATTTCCATTAAATGGGGTGAACATTTATCCATTGCACAGTGTAACCAATGTCACAGGCATGGTATTAGTTGTCGTGAACTATGCCACATTACACGGGAAGAAACAATTGAATCTTGTGTCACAACGACCATTTGTCGTTTACGAATCCCCACCACACCCTGTCAAGGAAGTCATGCTGAAATGGTGACAAAAACGTGTGATCTGGGCTTCAGTTATTTTAGCAGTATGTGTATTTGTGTTATTATTTTAAAATAAACAAAGAAGCAGGACAACAGATTAAAGAGTTGAAGAATACAACAGGGAGTGCTATTGTTGAATGATAAAGTGCTGCTTAAACAGATCAGGGCTCAGTGGTTAGCATTGTCACCTCACAACAAGAAGGTTGCTGGTTCGAGTCCTGGCTGGACCAGTTGGCATTTCTGTGTGGAGTTTGCATGTTCTCCCTGTGTTTGTGTGGGTTTCCTCCAGGTGCTCCAGTTTCCCCCACTGTCCAGACACATGCAGTATAAGTGAACTGAATTAACTAAATTGGCCATATTGAGTGTGTGCGTGTGTGTGTGTGCGCGTGCGTGTGTGCGTTTGTGTGAATGAGAGAGTGTATGGGTGTTTCCCAGCATGGTGCTGTGTTGCGGCTGGAAGGGAAGCATTTTTACAGTGCATTTGTTCTTAAATGCTAAATATTCCATCACATGTATGCTTGTACATCAAACACATTCAGCTGAGTAGCGTTAAATCCAGCTAATCTTTGTTAAATCTACAAACGTTGTCATTTCTTGTTCCTGGATGATCTCATTTGAAACACACAGTAATCAGCAGTAATCAGCCTTTAAAAAATAGAAGAAGCACTTATTTTTGACAAATGTGACTTTATTTCAAACTTTAGTACAAAATTCATCATTGTCATCAGTTGTGAGGCTTGTCGCCCCAGACTAATGTCAGTTTTTGTCCGTGTTCAGCTCAGCACCACCTTTAAGATGGGCAGTTTCCAGTGGCACCACGTGGAGGAACGGACTTCGCCACCTATATATACAGGGTTTGGATCATCACTCACCATGAACTACAACTACACACTAAATCACTAGTCAATAAATGATGTCCTCCAACCATAAATCATATACCATTAGCAAAACATTAGACTAGAGAAGGTTGTATATGAGGACAATATTAAAGCAAATACTAAAGGTAGTAACTTTATTCCTCTTCAGAACACAAATGAAGATATCTGAATGAAAATAATGAAGATATTTTAGTTAAATCTGAGAGCTCCTTAATCTCTCATAGACAGCAAGATTCCTGACTATGAGGATACTTTTATGTGCACATAAAACAAAAATAACTTTATTCAACAGTTTCTTCCCTCAGTGTCAGTATAGGGCACGCGTTCACGTGTTGCGCCTCTGACATATAACCTTGGATGTGCCTGTGAAGTTTTTAAGAGAGGAAGTCAGAGAGGAAGTCGCACAGGCATCCGTGGGGTATATGTCACTGCACAGTGCTTGTGAACGCGTGCCCTATAATCACACTGAGGAGAAGAAACTGTGAATAAAAATGTTTGTTTTATGTGAAGGCGTATGATCTGTTTTGAGGATGTTTTTTACTGTTTTTGTGGACTTTGAGTCTGGATGAGGGAGCTCTAAAATAAAAATAAAAATAGTTAAAATAGTTCTGATGATGAACATGAGGATGAGTAATAAATAACATAACTTACTTTTTAAAATGTTTTATTTAATAATTTTTTTGTTTCTAGAAGAATTTCTGATTGGTCAATAACATAACATATGAATATATAAAGTTTTAGATTTTTGTTTCAATGTAGGCAGTTTTTATAGTTTTATTTATTAATGGTGTTTTTTATTTTATTTTTTTACTTTTTTATTGTTTTATATATTAATTATGTTTTTTTATTTTTATTTATTTTTTACTTTTTATAGTTTTATTTATTAATGATGTTTTATATTTTATCAGGAGTCTCTCTCCTCTGGCTCAAATTACATTTCTTAGAGAGAGACACTCAAAATATATGGGCCTGAACTGGGAACGACACATAAAACAAAAATAACTTTATTCAACAGTTTCTTCCCTCAGTGTCAGTATAGGGCACGCTTTCACTTGTTGCGCCTCTGACATATAACCTTGGATGCGCCTGTGAAGTTTTTAAGAGAGGAAGTCAGAGAGGAAGTCGCACAGGCATCCGTGGGGTATATGTCACTGCACAGTGCTTGTGAACGCATCCCCTATAATCACACTGAGGAGAAGAAACTGTGAATAAAAATGTTTGTTTTATGTGAAGGCGTATGATCTGTTTTGAGGATGTTTTTTACTGTTTTTGTAGACTTTGAGTCTGGATGAGGGAGCTCTAACATAAAAATAAAAATAGTTAAAATAGTCCTGAAGATGAACATGAGGATGAGTAATAAATAACATAACTTACTTTTTTATGTTTTATTTAATATTTTTCTAGAAGGATTTCTGATTAGTCAATAACATGGCCAGTTATAGATTTATGTTTCAATATAGGCAGTTTTTTATTGTTTTATTTATTAATAATGTTTTTTTTTAATGTTTTTACTTTTTTTATTGTTTTATTATTATTATTATTTATTTATTTATTTTATTTTTTTGTGGCCAAATTGGCTGGTGAGTGATAATGTTCATTGGAAACCCTGTATATATATCAGTTGATCCCAGTAGTCATTGGTCAGGAGTCTCTCTCCTCTGGCTCAAATTAAATTTTTTAGAGTGAGACACCCAAAATATGTGGACCTGGACTGGGAACGACTGAGATATTTATTTTTATTAATTATTTTATTAGACATTTTATTTTAGCATGTGGAAGTGCAAGAGTTAAAGCAAAAGCTGATATAAAAGTGTGGGAAGGGCTATGTACACTATATGAAGGTCTAAACTGTTAAGTGCTTAATCATTTTTTTATATTTTTTTTATTTACATGAAATTTAATTAGACAAAAATAGGAGAGATGTAACAATGCAGAACCAAAACATGTTCAGCTTTTGCTTTCTCTATGGTTGGAATAGATTAAGTTATGTTTTGCTATAGGACTATGGTGGTGTGGTTGGACTGGCTAGATCCACCCATTAAATAAGGACATCTTTCCTCACTACCGCTTGGTCTCTGCCTGAAACAAAAAGAGTGATCAGGTTTACAGCTTTAATGCATTAAACAAACAACATATCATTAAAAGAAAAGCAATAAATGTCAATTTAAAAAAAGAAATTTAGGAACACAGGATTGTCGTCTGACACTAGCTGGGTTTCCATCAGCCTGTGTTGATGCACCTTTTCAAGTATCACATGGGAAACAAGTTTAAATAAGAATCCCTTAATTCAAAAAATGTTTTATGCTCACTTGAGGTCATTTTGGATTTGTGTGAAAAAGGGTTCATGATGGAAAAGCATTTGTCAATTGAACTTTGATGTAGCGACCATTTCTCAATTAAACTCCCCTTGTTTACTGTTGGTTACGAGGTTACCAATACTACAGTTCAGCTGCTCGACCAACTTGATGGAAATCAATTGCTCATAATTCACATTTATAATTACAAAATATATATTTAGTAAACTTTGAAAAGATGTGCTTCACATTATAATGGAAACTCAGCTCATGACAGATTCATTTCTCTGATGACAAAATCCTTTAAAGTCTATTCATTACCTTAAACCAGGCATGGGCACGGAGTGCACGCAGATCATGCCGGAAGTTGTAGTTAGTTATAAGACAACTCCGGATGTAATCACAGCATTCTGTGTAGAAAAAAATAAAGAGATACATATAATTATTACCTCAAAGTTTATACACACTTTTTTCATTGACATTCAAAATGTCCTACATAACCATCTTTAGCTGAAGTAAAGATCTCACCTTTTGACCATCCATATTCCTGAAACTTTTTGAAATTCAACCTTATGATTTTATGGTTGTCTGGAAGTTTCTTGAACATTAGGACATACTGAAGAATCCCGAGTGACCACACTGTCGCTGGCTCCCCTAAGTATAAGCCATTCTTACTAAACTCGGGAGGGCTGAACTTCATTGTGCCTGAAAGAAAGAGATTTTGTTTCCATTAGCACAACATTTAAATTTCTATCTGAAAATGTAAACAACAGTATAGATCAGGGGTGACTAAACCCAGTCCTGGAGGATCTGTGTCCTGCAGAGTTTAGCTTCAGCCTCAGTTAGACACACCTGAACAAGCTAATCAAGCTCTTGCTAATTATTCTAGACATTTTCTGTCAGGTGTGTTGAAGCAAGTTAGAGCTAAACTCTGTAGGCCACCGGCCCTCTAGGACTAAGCTGTGGCACCCCTGGTATAGATAAACAACAGTGAATGTGAACAAGAGCTCTGTAGACCTTTGAAGGATTTACATACCACAAAACTCTTTGTAAAAGCCGTCAGTAAGGAGTTCACCGCAGCCGAAGTCAATCAATTTGACTTCAAAGGTCTCTGGGTTAATCAGTAAGTTGTCAGGCTTGATATCGCGGTGAAACACTTTGCGTTTGCAGCACAAGTCAGCTGCAGTTGTTGCGTGGAGCATGATTTTCCGTAACACGTCCTCTGCGATGTTACCTCTGTGGTTTCTTACAAATTCAGTTAAGCTCATGCAGGGTACAGGCCGCTCTAGGACCATAAGGTAGCAGCTGTCCTCCACCTTCCAGTCCAGAAGCTGAACAACTTGTTTAATCTTGGGGCTTTTAGAAGCAAGAAAGTGCAGAGCGATCTCCGCTGGAAGTGGCTGGTCAAAATCATCCTAGAAGAAAAACAGTTGTTGATCATTTGATGGAAAAGTTATTTCCTGTTAAAACTGTTAGCACCTTTATATGACATGTTTAAAATAGAAACAGTTAATCAGAGCAAAGAGCACAGACTACTTACAACACGGATGAATCGCTTGTCCTTGAAATCGGCCAATTTTAAAGCCACCGGAAGGCCATCTTGTAAACGGGTCCCTGCAAAAACGGTTCCAAAGCCTCCTTTGCCCAGCTTAGCGCCAATTTCATAGCTCTGTGAGTTGACCTCTGTGAAAATAAAAAGAAGAGATGTTAATAACATTTGTGAATTAGTGACAGTGCTACCTTTACCTAAAACTACCTCCTCTATCAGGGGTTACCACAGTGGAATTAACCTTAGATACAGGTACTGTGTATACACTAGATATTGCATGCAGACCCTGAGCATGCGTCAATAGCGCCTACACATTTGCACAGTGCACCCAGAATAAAAATATCATTCAACCACACTAGTCAAGACTAAAGTCAGTCTAAAAATGCTGGACTTTAGTGCTGCGTACAGGTGTAGTAACAAGAAGATAAAGAAAACAAAGCATAAAGGCAGAACATTTCATGGGGAAGATTTCGTTTTTTACGTTTTTTTTTTTTTTTGTATGTTACAAACTTTTTGTACTAAACAAGTGCTATTGATGATACTGTCACTTACTGCTCTCACCATAAGGCAAAGTAACACCAACTGGCTCAAAATTCTAGGCTTACGCTAGTTTGGTTGAATAAAATCAGCAAAGAATGTAAATTAAATATGACAACAAGATGCTGCGGTGCCAGAAACTGGCATTGTTGTCGGCTAAGAGACAATAATATTCATAACTGAGATTCATTCGCAAACGAATCGCTCCCTCCAGCAGAATGAGAAGTGAAAGGGACTGTGTTTCAGAACAGAGATTAGATCAAATTTAACAGGGAGGGAGGATAATACATTTCCATGCACACAAACACACGCTTTTTGTCGGCAATGCCCGTGCGGCCACTTATCCATCGATGCAGAAAAGTGATGTAAAATTATAATTTTTTGTAATTTTAAAAAACATTTGCAGACTGACCACCAGGAAACTCCCGATCATAGATATACGTGTATATGTGTATTTATCTCTGGCTCTGTATGGCTAGTCCTCCGCTACACCTTGGTCCCACCTTCATTTTTAAGGAGCTTCATTTTTACTAAAATTGCGGCTCTATTGATGCATTTCCTCCAGTAGACACCAATAGCGTAGGTGACATCTAATGTAAATATCTTTGGGAATTAATCTATCATATAAAACCCTTTTTACAGATTTTGTCTTCCCTATATATATATATAGATGATTTTTATGATTTATATATATATTTCCATCTTGTTATCAGCTATCCCTGAACAAAATGTGTATTAGAGCCAGTTTAAAGCATAAAAGTCATTAAAACACTATTAAAATGTGCATGTGTGTTGGGTGACTGGGGTGTCATGATAGTAAACTTACCAATAATGTGTGTGTCTTTATCCTTCTGCTCTTCTGGCTGAGGTGGAACAGCGCCCTCTGTCTGACAGGTTGCCCCATGATCGACGTCATCTTTACAGCCGGGCTTAGGAGAGACCACATTTGGAGGGTCATCATGACTACAGCCGGGCTTAGGAGAGACCACATTTGGAGGGTCATCAGGACTACAGCCGGGCTTAGCAGAGACCCCATTTGGAGGGTCATCATGACTACAGCCGGGCTTAGGAGAGACCACATTTGGAGGGTCATCATGACTACAGCCGGGCTTAGGAGAGACCACATTTGGAGGGTCATCATGACTACAGCCAGGCTTAGGAGAGACCACATTTGGAGGGTCATCATGACTACAGCCGGGCTCAGCAGAGACCACATTTGGAGGTGGGTCATCCCCACAGCCAGACTCAGCAGACCGAAAATCTGTAGAGGGGTCATCACCACAGCCGGACTCAGCAGACAGAAAATCTGTAGAGGCGTCATCACCACAGCCAGACTCAGCAGACATGAAGCTGCTGTAGGAGCTGGCTGTGAGCTCACTACTACAGTTGAATCCGGCTGAGTAAATCTCTTGGGGGTAGTCATCACTACTGCTGGATGAGTTTAGAGGAACATCATCACTGCTGGAGGAGCTGGCCGAGTCCTCACTGTGACCATCGACAGGCTCTACCAGTGATGGTTCTTCACCGTGAACACTGTCAGGCTCTACCAGTGATGGTTCTTCACTGTGAACACTGTCAGGCTCTACCAGTGATGGATCTTCACTCTGGCCATCAACAGGTTCCTCCAGTGACGGTTCCTCAGTCTGAACATTGATCTGTTCTTCCAGATGCAAAGATGATTCTTCACACCAGTCACCGATTTCTCGACCTGAAGGAAGAAATAATATGAAACAAAAGATTTTAGATTTACCTAAATAATGTTTATCCAGTGTTTATTATTGATATGAACAAATGCTGTCAATTATGAAGTGACTTTTAAGGTCATTTCGTTCTACTTTTAGTTGTTGGTTAGTGTGTGCACATGCAAGGATATTTTTGCTGTGATCAGAATAGTGATTTTAATTGAGTTGCTGAATGTATATATAATCAGGTCATCCATAGATTTATTGTTAAGTTAATGGTTAGATACTGGATATTAGACACCTAGATATTGAGATCTTCCTTTCAGCTATTAAATTAGACCTATTATGTCATTAAATAAAAAATGTCACATGATGAAATTACTGTTCATAATCAAATTCACTTTGCAATTAATAATTTGTTTTGTATAAATACATGTCAATATGAACTTATAGCTGTTATCATATAATTGTATCATATAACAATAAATAAAATAATTCTAAGCTTAGCAATATTAACTAAAATCTACAAGAAAAGGTTTCATGTTTTCCACTAGGCACAGGCCGGAATAAGATTTTGACGGTATGATAACCTTGGATATAAATATCACAGTTTCACGGTTTTGAGATTACTGCTGTAAAGTATATTCTTTTTAAATGTCTTTATAAAAAAAAAAAAACTTTTTGTCCTTTGTACAACAATATATTTTAATTTGAGAAACATTTAAAATATTTTGGAGCAGTAAACATGTCAGGCTAAAGAATTCAAATGAATTATTGACTTGTGCTGTTTTCATTTGTTTCAAAAACAGATATTTTTTTTACAATTTAAAATACTGTTGTCCTAAAAACTAACTAATAAAATTTTTTAAAAAATCTTAATTCTACAGAAAATTTTGATGGTTTTAAAACCTTGACTTTTCCAAACCACGGTGAATCTTGAACACGGTTATCGTCCTATGCCTATTTTCCACTACGAATACCATTAAAACATTAAATATCACCATTTGTTATTCATTAAAACCACAGCATTGTGTTTTAGGACAGGCATTCAGGGGGTTTATCAGTGCAAAGCTTCATTTGTGTTCAGAAGATGAAAGAAGGTCTCGGTGGTTTGGAGTGACGTGAGGGTGAGTATTTAATAACCGAATTAGCATTTTTGGGTGAACAAACCCTTTCATCTTAAAGCAGAAAAAATTATTTTGTCTTTACAGATTACGGATGCATAATGGTAAAACTATGCAGAGCAAAAATACTTAGTTTTTGTCTTGTTTCTAGTTCAAATATCAAAACATGAAATCAAGCAGCATTTTCTTGACAAGTAAAAATATTTTCTCTTTTTCAGAAATATGCCAAAATTAACTGAGTTTTCCTTAAAGCAAGCTAAATAATCTGCCAGAGGGGAAGTCAAATGTATTTCAAAGCATTATTTTGCTTTCTCCATTGACAGATTGTTTTGCTTAAGGGGAAAAAACAACTTAATTTTGACTCAATATTTCTGAAAACCAGACAATATTTTTGCCTGTCTAGAAAAAAAAGACTCTTTATTTAAGAATTTTGAGATATCTGGACTAGAAACCAGACAAAAGCTATTATTTTATATTATTGTTGGCACCATATTAGCCACGTTTGTGTGACGAATGTTTGACACCAAATATGTTTAAAGCAGAGCAGTTTTCATTTGGCCTGTATTATTATTCACTTTGTTTTTGTAAATAATTTTTACATTTAGGTAAAATAAGTGTAGAGCCCTACACAAACTCCAGTATACAAAATGAGCAACATGTTCTTATAACACAAAACATTATTTACCATCACTGTTGGCCACGGAGGGTACCGTGACCAGTCCTTGACGGTCGAAGCTTTCATCTTGACCTGAGACGGTGGAATTGATGGTTCTTTCTCTCAGGAAGAGAGCAATTACTCCAAGTACGGTAAATAACATTTTTGGATTAATTTCCGTACACTTAAATATGAGAAATGTTAAATAAACCTACAATAAATACTGAAATTCACGGTAAGTAAACCTCGTTTGTCAGAGTAAGCCTTAATAAATCGTACGCTATCAATTGACGATACAATAAAAGCAAATTATTCAAAGCGAACTTTGTACAACTCAACTAAACATTTGTCAAGTAAGAGTAATGGCGAATGTGGAATGTAAGAGCTGTCTCTCGTAAGAATTCGAATGTGTTCCAGCGTTTCCCAGCCAACTGATACGTGATTGGTCAGTTTTGCGCTGTGTATCTTTAATATCCTCTAGTTGGCGGTTGTGTGTTTCCTTCGCGGGTGTTTAGGAGCAAAATAAACTGATTTTTCAGGAAATCTTTGTTTGACTCGTAAATATTTCCTGTTTGATGAATCATGACTGGTCGTTTGGTGAACCTGAGATAAATTTTTTTAATCAGGGTCGACTTAAATACATTTACAGGTAAGATTTGTCTTAGCATTTATTTTGCACTTCAAATGTGAGTTATTGGCGATAAGCGCTTGTATGAACATTAAACACGAGATATTATAGTGTATATCCATCAAAATCAGCAGAACTGCCTTTTCAAACTCCATCTACACTGCAAATAACGTTACAGAAGTAATGTGATGCTGAGATTAATAAAATGGCGTCATGTTTTACCCGGTGAATAATCTTATTCATTCAATAATTTTTTCCAGTTATGACGGAATAATTATAAAAGCACTAGCCTTGTCCAAAACTGTTCACCAATTCACTTTTACTATTCTTTACAACAGAAAAAAGGAAACAAAAAACGTGTTCCAATTCCTTTTTGGCTTTATAACTTAAATGACTTGTTTATAAGAAGTCGCTGTTATTTAGACAACAAAGAGAAGAAATATATATGTTTAATAATAAAAACACATATTTTCCCTATTTATATTATAACGAACGCATAAAATTGTATTTATTAGCAGTACTATAAATATTAATGAAGTGTTTAAATGATGTAAACATCATATTTGTGTGGTTGTATTTGTGTGTCCTGCAGGTAAGGGGTAAGATGTTCTAAGGAATGGTGTAAAATGAATATAAAATAATGCTTTTAATAAAAAATAAAATGCCTTTTCTTTTTTTTCTCTTTATTTTTCTCACTCTTATTCCTTTCTCATGTAGGAGTGAAAATTTAGGGAATGAGAATACAAACTGGCCAAAAAGGGCACTTATCTCGTAAGAGTAGAACCACTTGCGGGTTTATTTCTGCTTTGTCTAAGTGTCTGTAAGTCACTTTAATAATATTAAACTAAACATGGCTGTTCTTGCTTTAATAGGATGCAGAGGAAATATGCATAGAGAATGTGATAAATGTGACTGAGAAAGGAACAAACCTTCAGGAACAAGTAAGTAGAGAGCTTATACTTGCATGTTTGTTGAGAACTGTTTTGAATATTCATTACAGGGATCATGATAAAGACATCACTTTAGTTTTTCTTGAGCACAAAAGAAGATTTTTGAAGGAATGAGGAAACCTTTAACCATTGACTTCCATAGTGGGAAAAGTCAATGGTTAAGTTTGAAACAGGTAAAAGGTAAATGATGACATGATTTTATTTTTGGATAAGCTACAGTATGCCTTTAACACGGCTTGTTAGGAATTCCATCTCATGAACACTTGAAAATAAATGTGGAACAACAACAATATTTATACACACACTTATTTACTGAACAACACGCATAGATAACGTTTCAATGTGCACGTCATATAGATATACGTATAATATTGTATTTAGCAATATTCTGTCAAATAATTTATTTTTATTCTCTATTCACTTCTTTTTTTAACCCCTTATTGTCTGTTTTTGTCCTGTAACTCATTCTGTTGCATTGTAGAAACTTTCAGAAAACAAATTCCTCACACTGTAGTAAATGCTGGGCTCCAAACAATTGATTTGTGTTTGGACAACATGACGGAATTAAGTTACTTATTTAAGTGGATTAAACATAAACAATTAAGTTGCATCCAAAAAAAAATTTAAATAGTGTTGTAAAATAAAAACATTTTAAATAGGTAGCTCGAACAAACAGCAAACATCATTTTGTGTAAACCTGCCTGGCAGTAAAGCTCTTTCAGATTCTTATTTCTTCTTTTTAGGACCCATAATAAAATCGTTACAGACTTTTAGGTCAAAAACCACGCACATATTCTTGGTTTTACATAATGAAGTACGTTTAACATTGTCTGAAAAGTCTTTTAGAGGTTGTGCTTGTGGCAGACACACAAAAAAAAATTGTAAAAATGTGATACCTATATTACAATATTTCCATACATTGCAGATCGCTAGTAAATAGGTAAAAAAATAAAAGTATTTATATATATATATATATATATATATATATATATATATATATATATATATATATATATATATATATATATATTATTATTATTATTTATTTATTTTGACAATATAAGTATATAAAGTTTGGGTAATTAGGCAAGTTATTGTATAAGGATGGTTTGGTCTGTAGACTATTACAAAAAAATATTGCTTAAAGAGCTAAGAATTTTGACCATAAAATGGTGTTTAAGAAATTAAAAACTGCTTTCTCCAGAAGAAAAAATATTATCAGACCTACTGTAAAAATTTATTTGCTCTGTTAAATAGTGTTTAGGAAATCTTTTTGACTTCAACTGTATATATATAGAGTAATGTGTGAGTATGTATGTATGTATATCAATGAGTCGTAGCCTCATTACGTCAAAGTCAGCTTTATTGTCAACTCAACCACATGTACAGGACATATAGAGAATCGAAATTTCGTTACTCTCAGACCCTAGGTGCCTAACATATAATATTCAAAAAGTAGAGTTTAAGAAAGAATTTACAATAAATACAATTACACATAAAATGTAGTCTAAAAATACACATTAAGAATAAAAGTGATGCCAAGCAGTGATGTATTGCAAGGCACAGCTGAAACAACCACATGATGGCAGCATGTTAAGTCTGGGCAAGTTATACAGAGACACGTTTAGTCTTCTTCTATATTGAATCATCAAAGGTTTGATTTTACATTTAATAAATACATCAAGTTTGTGGTGTTTTTGTTAGTTCCTCCATTACATGTAAAGCTCAAGTAAATTCAGTATATTTAAAAGCAACATTGTGGGTTATAACCTGCACTGACTGATCTGCTGCTGAACCTTGTAATGTTTCTGTGTTTATACTGGCCAGGATCCAGTTGGTGTTTTTAGCAGAGCTAATACTCTCCTTAACCTTAAATCGCCATTGCCCAACTTAACCTCTCTTCTCCTTCCTCTGTCTACAGTCTACTGTTATCTTCAGTCTACTTCTGTCCATAGCATCAGTTACCTGGGTCCAAGTGTCATGCTTTGAGTTTACTTGATTTACATTAGGAGGTAATGGACTATTTCACCTTTATCTATTGCTTTCCATATTTTAGTAAATAAAATGTATCATTCGGTTTACATTTAATTACAGTAAATATACAATTGAACTGCTAATAATAAAAGCGATCGTTCACCCAAACATAAACATTTACTCACTATTTTACTTCCAGAACTTTATAACTATCATGATATTTTGAAGAAAGCTATAAACCATGAATTTTCATAGTGTGAAAAACAAATGCTTACAGGTTTCCAGCTTTATTCAGCATATCATTTTAGTTAAACAGAAGAAAGTCAAACAGGTTTGGAACAAATGAAGAGTGAGCAAACGATGACAGAATTTTCTGTTTTAATATATTTAATAACTTTTACTCAACTTATTGACCCTATTCTTCATGTCCAACTGGGTGCAAATCTTTTTGGCTGAGGTAATATTGACTTCCATTGGTTTTTAGATGCTAAAAGCAGCTTGTTATGCTGCTTGATGTTGCCAACTGTTGTGTCATATTATATTATTCTTTTTTTTTTTGTATAGTCATGAACACGTGTTTGTAGAGCAAGTCATTTGTCCATTTTCTGCCCGTTTTTTATTCCTAGTCATTTCTCCAAAATGAATCAGAAGTTTTATAACATATGCAAATTCAAGTACACCTCAGGATTGCAGAATAAGGTAAATAAAAATCACAACTTGCAATTTTATCCTACTTTAATAAACATAACTTATTATCTTAAGGGGGTTGTTCGCCCAGGACTGAAAATTCTGTCATCATTTACTCGTCTTCCACTTGTTCCAAACCTGTTTAAGTTTCTTTCATCTGTTGAACACAAAACAAGATACTCTGAAGAATGTTGGGAAAAATCAGCCATTGACTTTTATAGTATTTTTTGTTTTTACTATGCATGTCAATGGCTGATTTTTTTCCCCAGCGTTCTTCAGAATATCTTCCTCTGTGTTCAGCACAAAACCACTTGAGTATGAGAAAATTAAGCGGAAATCATTTTGGTTGAACTATCGCTTTAAGATGCGTTTCTAGCCTACATTTTACATAAATCATTTGGCAAGTCCACTCCCATGGTTTGCTCTTCTTGTGCACAAGAAAAGTAACTACTAAGTTTAACACAGATAGGGTTTTGCCAGGGTCGGAAATAGCCATTTTGAAGCCTTAGCTGGATGCCTGGAAGCACGTAGGGCTCAGGATAGATCTGCGTCTGTTTAAGGAGAACTGGATTGAATCATGTGTGTATTAACTGATTAGTGAGCTCTGGGAATCCCATTAGAGCCAAGCTACCATTGCTAATGCTGATTAAGTCACTGTAGAGCCCACCATAAACCACAGTAAAATCTCATATGTCCTCAAAAAAAAAAAAATTGTTCATTATTTCGATGCTTTTCATGCAGAATTTTCTGTGCATACTTGCCTTAATTGTGATAAAACAAAGACCTTGTGTTACCTCATCCATGGCAATTGTATCTTGTGTTTTCTTAGCATACTAAATGTATAAAATACTTAGGTTTAGGTGTTGAAATCCCTTCATACAAGTATTAAAGCTATTTTTCTAAGCGATTCGACCTTGTAGTAAC